ACCTCATCATCCCAAAGTTTATATATATATATATATATATATATATATATAGAGAGAGAGAGAGAGAGAGAGAGAGAGAGATGAACGTTCAAATAAAAACCTGTCCCATTTGTGTAAACCGTATAAACCAATCTCATCCATCCATTTTTTTGATCAATGACCAAAATTAGTTTACTTTATTTTAGGAAATTAAAAAAATATATATATCAAAAATTTATTTTATTTCAACAGTAAGGGCAAAAATGGTAAACAAAATTTAACATTTGGTAACATCTTTCTAGATATTAATGACATTATTTTCATTTTTTAAAGCAATATATTATTTTTAACTTTAAATCACATCCATCAATAAAACATATAAAAAAACAAATATAACACACCATATTCATTTATATGGAGTGAATCGTTTTAAATTTTGAATTACATTATATGGACAAAATTGGTTTCACCTTAAAAATGTTTCGGTTCACATAATTTATTTGCAACAAGACCCGGTTTCACGTTCATGAAACCTATTTCATTTTCCTTTTCATAATTTATTTTCAAAATGCACCGGTTTCATTTTCCTTTTCATCAACAAAATGGATCAACTATACCATCAATGCAACGGTTTCACCATTAAAATGTTTTGGTTCACCTAATTTATTTGCAAAATGAACCGGTTTCACGTTCATGAAACCTGTTTCATTTTCCTTTTCATAATTTTTTTCAAAATACACCGGTTTCATTTTGCTTCACATAAAAAAAATTAACTACACCATCAATGCAACGGGTTCACCATAAAAATGTTTCGGTTTACCTAATTTCTCTGCAACATGAACCGGTTTCACGTTCATGAAACATGTTTCATTTTGTGGATTTTTTTTTGTTCATCTACGTTTTGATGATTTCATTCTATAATTCAGTTGTTTCATCAAGACACATTTCCTGATTATAACTCATGACAATATATGAAATCCAAAATTTTAATATTTTAATATAATTAAATATTTAAATGTTACCATTTATATAATTTCTTTTATTACGTTTCCTTAATTAAGATTTATTAATCACTTTCATATTTAATAGAAAATATTGTAAATGACCGAAATATCCTTATTGATTAAATTTAATTAGAAAAAAATGAATTTTTCTATTGGTCGAAATTGGTTTACACGGTTTCTTAAAAATGCACGGTTTTCATTTGAACGTGCCCATATATATATATATATATATATATAT